CGTCTGGGTGGTCCACCGCAGTCGGGACCCAAACCGGTCCGCACAGCGGATGCCACTGATTGCCCTGGCAGTGCCCCATTGGGGAAAGAGCCAAAAGGTCCCAGGTTGAGCCCACCCAAGACAGAGGTACCATCAGGTTGGGCTCTTAGGTGTTGATATCTGTCTTGATTGGGCTTTGTTTCAATCCATGCGTGTCTGCGTGCCTGTTTTCCTTCGCCAGTTCTGTGGTTCTGTTTGCAGGCGAGGTCTTCAGCTTGGACTCCGAAGTCAACAGCGAGGACGAGAGGCGCGAAACTGCTGCAGCCCATGCCAGTCAAGTCCGCAAAAAGGCTGGCTTGCCTGAGCTTGAGCTGGATGCATTGCCATCCACCATTGCATCCAAGATGTTGAAGCTTGCTGCTGTTCACACGGGAGTGGTCCATTTATGATTCGGAGCACAACCCTATGCTAATTGATGCTTCAAACAATCAAACATGGTGTTTGTTCAGTGACCCTGTTGCTGGCTGCATCTGGTTTCTTTGTTCAATGTATTCTATGGCTTAGGATTTGCCTTGACAAACGGGCCAAAGGACTTCAAGCCTCTTTGGATGTATGCACCAATGCGCCGAAACTGTCTGACCTGCAGACCAGGTCAGTATGATGTAAATTTGATTTTGCATAGCGCCTTCCTCTAGCAACTCAGAGGTGGTTCAACCGGCTGAGCTGTGTGCCAGGATCCGTGACAAGATGGTGGAGTTGAAACATCAGCTCACATCCATCTGCAAAGAAATTGAAACGATCTACACGAATGGGATTGTGGAGGGTTTTTCCAAGGAGTCGTTGCCCAAGATGTCATTGCAGCAACACATCCCACTAATCTCTTAGACCCACTTTGTCATTTCAGGTCAGAGGACAATCTGCGATCCCAGTATCACGATGCCAAACTCCGGAACAGACCTTAATTTTGTGTTTGGTTGTTGTTCTTGTTGTGTACATTTTGGGTGACAAATTCTAAGGGCGGTGGAGGCCTTGAACCTTGAGTCAAGAACAAAGCTGGGACCTTGGTGGTGAGATTGTCCATAGCACGAATGGAACTAAACCTTTGATCTACAGAGGGATTGAACACTCCTTCAGGTCATCTTTGCCGAAGGCAAGCCCAAAGGAGGATTCGTCTAAACTGAAGGGAACGAAGCGGCAAAGCCAGCGGGCCAAAAACGCTGCGGCCAAGGCCGCATCGGCCAAGGCTTCATCTATATACTTCCAATGGAGCTGCCGTTCCAAAGGGAGCCCCAAAGTCTTCCGCTGCCCCAAAGGGGAAAGCAGCCGCCAAAAACAAAAACAAGGCAAACGCCTAGAGATTTCAATTTTGCCCAGATGCACTTGGCAAAGTTAGTTGCCAATTCATCCAAATGCTTTTGTAGGAGCATATGCAATTCGATATTCGTCAGATCCCAACTCTACTGCGGACGAACAGCGGGGAAAAATTAGGAGACCGTGCGACAATGTTTCTTAGCAATGACAAGTGCTTTTGTATTGACAGTTTGCCATTTGTTGCTTGGTGGTTGGACCTCTCGGATACCCCCAAGATGGTCTACTGGGGCTCCGATCAAACCACCAAAGCCCCCAAGATGGTCCACTGGGGCTCCTACCAAACCACCAAAACCCAGGAAGAAGATATCCACTGGTTAAGTTTCAGATGTGCATTCATGGCAGGTCCTGCATGTTTCAATCATGCCAGGTGATGGTCAGCAAAATGACCAAAAGAAAAGGTCTCTAGAAGAAGCGTATGCAGAGGCAGTTGCTGACGGAGTGGGAGGCTTACATTTTTAGCTGCAACTTTGCTCTGTTCATTTTCTCGCAGGTATACAGTGGATGTGACTGGATGTGATACAATTATTATGTCATGTTATGGTTTTGTCATGCTTTGCTTAGAGGCCTTGTAGCTTGGAAAGGTTTAGGTTTCTGCTTCGCCCAGGTCCCAGCAGTCACCTGCAGGCGGATGCATGGTGCAGCACTAGATGGTGGACAAAAGAGTGAAAAATCTCAGCTCCACAATGCTGCACGAGATGCCATGTGGATGGTTCGTCGAAAGTGGATCGGGTGGAATGTTCCATTGGACGTGGTTGATGTGTTTTTCGATGATGGCTCCTCCATTCAAGTCACTTATTTGGATCCTGCAAAGCTCCTTACATACCTCATGGATAAGCACCCTTCTACATTGACTGGGTGCTTTGACCTTGACCATGGCAAGGCCTGTTTCAAGGCATTTTGGGATAGCTACCGAACAGTCCACTCAACTCATGAACTGTTCGCCCAGTTTGCAAATGATCTTCACCACACTATCCCTGTTGCCATACACGGCGATGAAGGCCGTGGCAAGCGCAGATCAAATACAACAATCATTACAATGGAAGCGATTTTGGGGCTGAAGGGGCATACATCTTTGTGCAACAAATGCACGCCATCTTGTGGAGAACCTGTTTGCTTGTCTGGGGCGGAAGAGGCACATGAGCTGGCCAAAACGCTCAGATCCAACTTGAAGGGACCTTCATTTGTTCAACATTTCCCTTTCTGTGTTGTTCCAGGTGTGCTGGGAGACAAAGTAAAAGTCATTACAGAGAAGCTGTTGTCAATTTTTTCTGAGAAGTTGCTCAGCTTGTTCAGCACAGGCTTTGAAGCCAGGTCGGAGCATTGGAGGGTTGCATGCGTTGCTGCCAAAGGCGACTTGAAGTGGCATGCCAAAGTAGGTCGCTTGGTCCGAGGATATGAAGGCCGTGGCCGTGTGCGGGATCTTCCTTCGTGTCACCTGTGTAAAGCAGGGGTTGCAAACCTTCCAGCTGAAGATTACACAGCAAACCCTATTTGGGAACACACCCTTTACTCAGAACGACCTTGGCGTCCTGAAGAACCTCCCTTGCTGGCTGCGATCCCATTTGATGCATCCATGCCAGAATATTTTCTGAAGTGTGACCAGTTTCACAACCTGAAACTGGGCATCCACAGGCATTTTGTTGCGAGTTGTATCTTCCAGTTCTTGCGGTATGGCTTTTTTGGCAGTCGTGGCAAGGTAGATGACAAATTGACAACGGCTTACGGCCATTTCAAGGTTTACTTGCAAGTTGTGCACAAATTTGCTTCCTTGAGGAGCTTCTCGCCAAGTTTGTTTTCCTACAAGAGCTCAACGAGCTACCCCTGGTGCAACACGAAGGCTTCAGACACTTCATTGATCATGGACTGGATAGCTACAATTACAGTAGGTTTCTTGAACTCAGAGAATTTGAGTGATGACCAAAGATTTGTGTTGGACACCATTTTGTCCACAACCCGCGTCGGCATAGCTTGGTTCGATATAGTCTACAAGCATGGTCTGTTCCTGGCGCCAGATTGTGCATTGAGGCTTTACGAGGTTGGGCATGCTTTTGTGGTTGGGTATTCCACTCTAGCGCACAAGGCCATGGCAAACAGACTCTGTCTGTTTGCCTTAATTCCAAAGCTGCATTTTCAGTGTCACACACTCGTCGAGCTGCGTTTGCAGATTGAGTCTGGCAGTGGGATTTCCTTGAGTCCGGTATGTTTCGACTGCTGCATGAATGAAGATGTTGTGGGCCGACTTAGTCGGCTTTCTCGGAGATCGGACACACGTGTGACTTTTGAACGAGTGCTTAGCTGGTGGCTAGTGAAAGCAGGCCTCTTGTTCAAGAGGCATTACGGGAGTTTAGAACGAAAGGGTCAGGGGCAAGGGTGATTGGGAGAAGAGAGTCTAGGTTGTCATTCTGGACATTGTCTATGGTTCTTCACTGTGCTTTACTTGATTTTGGAGCAATGTTTGCCTTTGCCCTTGGTCCAGTTTCCTGTCTACAGGATTTGCCAACCTATGCAGAGTTAAAAGCACTGTGAACGACTATGTGCAGAATGGGAATCCACCAAACAAACGAAACGACGAAAAAAAACTCAAACGACGTAAATTCTGGAAAACGACGTAAATTTACTGAGTTTCACGAAACGACGTAAAAAGGTAACACCAGGAGTTCCTAGGTATAATCAAAAAGCTCAAACAATGCAACATAGAAGCCAGAAAACATGATAGAAAAAAGTGGCACAGGGCTTCGACTCAAAGAAAAACATGAGTATCACAAGAGAACCCAGAAAGGAAACAGTGAACAGGGTCAGGAAGTGACAAGCCACCCGATTCCTGTCAGGATGGCAGGGTTTGCAAATTTGATTATGTGTGTTTGTCTCAGAAATGTCATTGCATGTTTCTAGCTGTTCATCCCATGCATGATCCAAAGCACTTATCAACTCAACTTCTGGGGATGCTCGGCGCTCTTCCTGTCGCTTTTTCTTTACAAAATTAATTGTGCACAATGCCGCCGTTATGTCACTTCCATATTTTGTTGTCTTGCTTGATTGCGTTTAAGTTGCACTAATTGGCTGTTTCGCATTAAAGAATATAGTTGTCAGATTTCAACAATGAGGTTGTCCCTGCAAACATAAACGTAGAATGTGAGCGTTTGTCTCTTCAAGAGAACCTTGAGAAAAATCCTAAACCCATAATATCCCATATATCACCATACAATTTTTGCTGATGGTCTGTAGTTCCTTGAGGGGAGGCCGTGTGGAAAATGCCTTTCCGGCCGACGGCCGAGGGCGAAACACCTTAAAGGGCAGCGATTGAACTCATTCTGTCTCCCATTAATTTTGGCGTATATATATATATATGTGTGTGTGTGTGTGTGCTGTGCGTACGTGCGCGTGTGTGTGTGTATGATTTTGGGGGGTTCACTATCTATTAGACCATGCTTTAATTGTCTCCTGCGCACTGATGTGTCGAGAAAACAATTCAACAAGAGTCAGTCAACATTACTTTCCAATGGCCCACTACAAGTGTGGGGCACCCAAGATCCGAATTCTGTCAGACTCGGGCTGGCTCACCTACCGTGCCTACACGACCGACACGGTAGGAAAGGACAGCGAGTCTGAAGACTGAGACCTCTCTGCAACAGCGGTCTCGGCTGACCCACCTGACCAACGGCTTTCAGCTGGACGAAGAAGTTGCAAAGGATCTTCAAGACGATGGAGTACACTCCTAACAACACTGCAAACAATGGCGCTGGTGCCATTGTCTAGGGCCATCAGGAAAGTGCTCTCGTGTCAGCTCGCATGGCTACACATGGGAGTCGGTGACTTCAGCAACACAAGTCGCGAGTACTTGCACAAATGAGATACACTGATACGCTTATATACAGTATTATACAGTATTCTATTCCTCAGTCAGCTTCCTCATGGAGTACTTGAGCTTCACACACTGCTTTGCTGCAACCCAGGGGCCTCGCAAATTGCCGTGGGAGACATCCTGGCATGTTGACAATTCATCACTTTTGTCATCCACTCTTCAGTTGAGGGCCGCAATCGGCTCAAGAGCTGTCCCGTCGTGACGTGGCAGTAAACACCCACTGGGGCCTTTTCCTTGATTTGGAAAGGGGAATCCCACATATTCTTCGTTTGAGTCCATTCCCTCGCAACCCTGTCCTGTGACCAGGATAGCACGCAAAGGCCCAACATCCCACCCAAGCTCACGATGACAATCACGAGCAGGGTCAGCCAATCTGGTGGGCATCTACTGCAAGGCTCCTCGGGACCTGTTCGCTGAAAGCCTTAGAGGCTGGAAGAACATGCTGCAGGCACAAGTTCCAACATCGTCAATGAAACAATAAACTGAAACAAGTTGAAATACACGCCGACTACACTACACTGTAGTTGGGGAAAGAATTGGGATCGGTAAGCAAATCAACCTGAAGACTGAGTTGACATGACTCTATATATCTCTATATAACATCATACGTATATAAATATAAATATGTACATTGAACATATACACTTTGAATGTAATTATAGTTATAAGTCTTGATATCAGGTCCGTCAAGTATTGACATCACTCGAATGATCTCTTCAAGAATCCCGGCACTGAAGCAGCTGGCGTCTTGCTGTCAAGTAACCCACAGTGCAGCTACCACAAAGAGGTCCTTCCATTGCCTCCTGGCCCTCGTCCATGAGGCAAGTGTTGTTCCCGCGGCATGCAGATGCCACTGGGCATTGGAAGGGCCCGAAACTTAGGAATGGCTCCTCACTGTCCCAACAATCTGCGCATGTCCTTAGCAAAGATTTAGAACCAATGTCAATGCAACGCCAATGCAGTGCCAATGCAGCATCATGAGTCAAATTCGCTACTGCCAAGCATGCCAGTCACAATAATTGTACACAGATTAAGTTATAATATGTTATATAAGTGTGTCTGTTATGTAGTCGCCCACTCACAGTGCCGCAGCTGCCAAACTATATATAGAGAGAGAGCAATTTGCATGAACTCTGCCTCTCTTCTCTTTCTCTGTTCACTATTTTAGGACAGTTGGCACCCTGAAAGGAGCTCTACACACCCCTCGCATATGATGGCCATCATGCAAAGGCACAACATCTTCGTCTGAAAGTGCCCAACGACCTCGGGACCGACCCACCAGGGCTGACTGGCAGGCCAGTCAACCCAACAGGCCCGTTTGGGGCTCGAGCATTGTGGAACATGTTCCCAACACGATTGGAGCATTCAGTTGGCCCGAAAATCTGTTGCATGTGTCCATGCTCAGATGCTGATAAACGCCACCTTGGTCTCAACTACCACTTGTTACTTACCAGTGTGCCATAGTCTACTTCTTATTTAACCCATTAAATACTTCTCAGCCTGCCAGCCCTCTACCCCCGTACACAAGAACGTTCATTGTTCAAAATTGCAAAGAATTCCACCACCTGAGCCAAGACACGTCAACTTGTTCCCCAAGCAAATAAAAGCCAGCATCCGCATAGAAGGAGGTGGCTGCAGTCCCGTTGTAGCCACCAGTGCAACTGGGATCAGGCAATCATCTCCAAGTCTGATTTGTTCAATCACCCGCAATGGACTATTGTGGCTGTTTAGTGTTTAGCGGCTGCCTCCAATCCAGGAGCGGATTGAACCTGCCCTAGACCTTTCGCCAGGATCCTTTGCTTCGCCCAGTCACATCGCCCCTCGGGGGCACACGGCACAACGTGATTGCCGCGGCAGCGGGTTGTAGCGACCCATGGGACAGGCCTGCGGCCATGTCAGCCGTGGCACTTACTCAAACTCAACTTTGCACGAGCAAATTTGCTGGCTCTACACTGCCTGGCATGATGGAGTTGCCGCTTCTTGCGCGTAGCGCCCTGGAGGGCAAGCCTGGTGCAACCACCCCTCATTCCGTAGAAGCAATTGCAGGCCGTGGAACAACATCATATAATATATATATATACTGTATGTATATGAACTGTTAAATAGACAGAGCTATAAACCTGCTAGATTCTCTGTACGCACCAGGACTTTAACTGGATCTGAAGCGGCAAGGCCCCCCGAAAAAGAACAATAATAACTACCTATTAAAGCCCTGTGTCTTGCATTCTTAAAATCTTGCATTCTTAAAACCATGTTGGAAGCATCCTCCTGGCCTCATTCATTGCCCCTTACCTACCGAAAGTAAATGCAAACACCAGTCGTGGTGCTGAAGGCCTCCCCTATGGATGGACATTTTAGCATGGCAGTCCATAGCTGGGGGTGGTTTGTTTCGTCCGTGAGCTCGGCTCAAGAGTGGCCGCATACGGAGAGAGCATGAGAGAGCCCCTAGTAGCGTCCTTGCTCCTCGTAGCGATGCCCTTTGCTCCTAGTAGCGTTATTGCTCCTAGTAGTACGCCCAGGAGCCCGTAGTAGCGTCCTTGTTGATTTGTGTCACTTTCCTGTCGAAGTCTGGTGCCCGCTGGTGCCTGACAGTTCTCCCCAAGGGCATCCGGCTGCGTCCCAGCAGGGCAGGGCGTGCAGGACATCTGGTCTGCTGCTGGAACGGTGCCAGCATTGTCCTGCCAGGGGGGTCAATGATTGACAAATAAAGTGGTTGATCTCAAGTCTGGGCAAAGCGTCAATGGCTTGAAGTCTTGTCTGCGGCAGTGGAGCGCCTAATTCTTCCACACCAAAAACTCCCAATTCCGTCCGTGCTGCATACGCGGCAGCGGGCAAACCCAGAACTCCCATCATAGATAAGGGTCGCATTCCTGCGCAGGGCCGAGCTTGTCCTACCAAATCTGGTTTCAACATGTTTCAACAACACACTAGCAGCCAAGCTTCCGTGTGAATCTGTGTTCTGTCTGAGCCAAGGTCATGGAAATTCTAAAAAACAACTGCACAGGAAATTTAAGATCACTATGTAATTATGTTTTCCATTGCACATTCAACGACACCTGGGGCATGACAGTTTCACGCAGGAGAGCTCAGCGGCGCTCCAAACCTCGCATTCAGCTCGGTGCTGTGTGTGTGTGTGTCCAATCCTGTTTCCAAGGACACTACTCTAGTTCTCGTTCTAACCTACCCTACGAATCTTCCAACCACTGTACAGTAGCAGGGGGCACGGCGGCCGTTCACCTAGCCGTGCTAACAAAGCTATGGTGTTCGGTTGGAAGAGATACTGGACGCAGTATCTTGTACCTGCAATTTTTAATTTTCACTCATTGATGCTTCTAAGTCAGTTCAACGCTGTCTCATACGTTGATTTTGCAATAAAGTGCTAATGCTCTCGGCTAATGCTGTACCTAAATGTAAAGGGCTAATGCACACCGCGAAGCAGCCTGAAATCACGCTCCACGGAGCAACCTTCTCAAGTGTGTTTTCGCAGCTTCTTTCCACTGTGGTAAGCTGTGTGGTCCCTACGGGGCGCCGTTACCGCAAGAACCCACCATCACAAGCTACATCCAGATCCAGGAGCCGCACTCGCTCACTACGCACTACACGCTCTCCACTACCACGACGTCGAAGCTCCGCCACACAATCCGTGGCTAGTTCTCAACCACAATCCAAGCCTGCAGACAGACAAACATCACCATCACCAGCAATCACCCAGGACAATGCTCACACTCCCAGACAAAACATCACTACCGCTACCACTGCAAAACACACTCCAGAGTCAACTCACCGTACTTCCAGCATCACACTCAAACCCAACCCACAGTTCACACCCAAACATTCCACAAAACAGACACCTACACCGCCACCACCAGCACCATTACCTACAGTTCCAGTACAACGTCGACCTCACAATTTGCCTCCTCCAAAATTCCAACCACCCACTGATCCAGCACAATTGGATGTCTTCCAATGGCTCAACCACTACGCACAAGCACTTGATGTCAAAAATGAACCCATGATTTCCTACGTAGCCAAGGTACTTAGTGCAGCTCATCTCAACAGCACCCACTTTACCGACCTACAACTTCTCACACACACACAAAATGGAGCGACGACACCAACAAAGAAGAACATTACTCATTCCTATTACTCACAATCCCCACATTAGCGAGCAGGGGCGACGCCCCGATCCTTCCTCCTACACGGAGAGAGGCGCTGAACATACCACCTATAAAGCACATTTTTGCGGCACACGTTAGTGAGGAGGGCAACATCATTTCAATACTTGAAGCAGGAGAAATCGTGCGATCCATTCTACATGATGATCACAACGTGGGCTATTTTTGTCAGGCGTTCGAACTGTCGAACTATGAGCCCCATGATGCTGCTGAAGCTGCACGCGTCCTCTTCAATGCTTCCAATATGGCCAAGAACCGTAGCGGCCTCATTTTGACGATCAAAGCCTATGGACACGGCCAGAAAGTCACTCATGGTGGCGAATCCGCAGCGAACGACTTGCTGCTCAGAGGAGAGGGGATTGTAAAATACACCCCAGGAAAATGCTGGGTGGCACATCCCAAACATTCCAGAATAGAAGGGATAGCCTGGAAAAGCGATGCAAAGCCACCGCTTAGTTTCATTTAATTCAACCTATTCAGCTCACGAGGTTCTTTTTCACCCCATATCCCGGATGACGACCTAGCCTCAAACAATCTCAGCCGGCTTGCCTGGTTTTGATATTGATTTTGGTTTTTTCTAACTCTTCGATGCCAACTTCCTTTTCTTCCAATATCTTATTTCTGTGCAGCTTGATGCCGACAACATGATCTTCTTCACGACCACTATCGTTCCAATTTTCCAGACTTACAGCATGTCAGCCTTCCTGGTTGGTTTTAAGCATTTCGAAGAGAGTCCGCAAGATTTTCCTGCTTTGCATTCTGCCCCGCAGCCATTTTGTATTATCTTGAATATTGAGCTCGATCCCTGACAACTGCCCGCGCTATATTTGCTCTACGACGAGTATCACGACGATGACTTCATCTATGGACACAGCATTTGCACATCGACTCCTTCTGGCACACCTTCAAGCAGCCACATCCATTGCCACCACTTTTCAAAACCTACCACTTTTTACACCGCAACCACCACAGCATGCACACCACCAACCCATTACCACTCCACCTTCTTCCCCAAGACCAACCAGACGCACTCCTCCACCACCGCAGCCACAGCCATCTCATTCACGCAGTCGCAGTCCACCTCCCACCACAGGCAAACCTTTCAAGGAGTGCAAACCAGAACCTTCTCCCTCACACACGCCCACTTCACCACATCAGCATTCACCACACCACCACAAGCCCAAAGCGACTCACCATCGCCTTCCTCAGAAGAACAATACAGAACCCATGCCACCACATACACCACCGATCACAACGATTTCCCTCACCAGCTCGCCCAATTCGCCTCCACAACCAGTACCCACTCCACAACCAGTACCATCAACAAAACCAGCACAAATCCTCACGGAGTCACCTCCTTATCCTGATAATGGAGGCTGGGAACCCAGCGAAGATGAAAAACTGGCGGCCTTCAAACTCAACAAGCGAGCTCGCCCCAGTTGGAAGTACATAGCCAAAGCACTCAACAAAACACCTTTTGATTGCAAAGGTCGATGGCAAGTCTTGCGAATTCTTTACACACCTCAACAGCCAGACAGTCCAGAAGTGGAACCGGAAGCATCATCACCTCACAAAGCATCCCATCAAGCAGCGGCATCTCCTCCAGCCACAAAAGACGCCAGTACGATGACTACAGAACCTCCGGCTCCATCAGACAAAGAGACATAGAACACAGAACAGCAGTACATGATAGTCCAAACAGAGCTTCCCAGGACTACTTGGTGCTGAAGAACATCCAGAACTATTGATGGCTTTGTATTTTATTGTCAATTCGTACATATTTACATATTGGCTTATTGCTTCTTGTCGTTTCAGCAGTTGTGAGCAATAGACTCCAACCCACCACATCCCACTACAGCTTTCTTCCACAAGTGCAGCAAAAACAAGATCGATTGCCAGCGGAGCTCATGTTGTTTCAACACACGCCACACACATCAAACTTGCGACAACTGACACATCGCCAGTGCTGTGTACAGACCATCCATGTTATTCCGTCTAATTCGTCTCCTCAGTGCATTTACGAGATTTATTCTGGATTGTTGCATCTTTTGTTGAATTTGATGATTTTTCTGTGGTCCCTTTTGTCGAACTTGAACGTGATGACCATTTCGGTTCCACCTTGATGTACTTGCAGCTCGGCTATTTCAACTTAACTCAGCCTTCCACTCGTGTACAGATTTTTTGACGAAGACATAGCGATGGATTCCCTCGTTGCCCTGGATGCCCAGATCATTTCACAGCTGCGCGATACAAACATCCAGATCAACCGGCTGATGGTACTTCAACTCAACCGACTACATGATACTATCAGGCAATTACAACTCGCAGAAACTGACACAAACAACCCAGACCCACGCCTACCAGGAAGAATCCAACAGCTCCAAACATTGTTGCCCTCGATCAAAGCAACCGTGGAGCACCAGCAGACCTTTTACCACCAATGTCTCAGATTGCAACACATACCAACCACTCTCCAACACCAAGTTTTACGATTGGCCACCACTTTGGACAAGGCCCACGCGACATCTACTTCCACTTTCGAACGATCAAACACGCCTCCATCCCCCAGACAACCCATGACCGACCCAACATCACTTACCACCAATCGATCCACGATACGACTACAAGAACGACCACACCATCCTCAGCATCACAAACTATCAGAACAGCCACTCCTAGTATGGCAGCAGCGCACTTCCTCAGCAGCATCACACTCACACAGCGCCAAACACACCCATCAACCACCTCAACGCTCCAGATCACACTCACGACACACACGCAAAAAGCGACAAGTCGCCGCTCCGAGGCGTCACTCAGACCGCACATCACCACCTCGCATTGACAGACACAATAGCCCTCACTCCCACAGCACACGTTCTCCACAACAACCCAAGCATTTCACCAAACACACAAAACGTCGCAAACAACCCAAGCGATCACAACACTCCACTACTCGCTCCAGACGCTCTCGGACAAGACGCTCTCTTACTACCAAGTCACGAAAGAGCCGTCGCGAGAGATCGACAAGATCGACACACTATCGCTCCTCTTGCAGGACAAGACGTCAACTTTCACCAGCACCGACTCGAACCCACTCACCTAGCCACCAGACCGAACACCACACTTCTCGACACTCTTCACGTGCCTCCCCGACGACACGACCAGACTCACCCCGCACAGCACCACCTCCTCTTACACCTACAGAGGACACCAGCGACAGCGTGTTCGCTCTGCAGCACTCACCCTCAGACAAAACCGCATCAAACATTTCAGCAGCACCACCTGCCATCTTTCCACTACATCCAACTCCATCACAACCACCGCCACCACCACCACCGAAAACACCACCGATTCCAGCGCCACCACGAATTTTTCCAAAAACATCACCCTCCACCAAACCATCACAACCACCACCGCCTCAGACAACACCCATACGACCCAAACAACCATCGTATCCACCTCCACAGCAACTACTTCCTCGCCAAGTTGACCAAGATCCGGCGCCATGAGAGTCACCTGAGACACCACATTTCAGCCACATATCTATATTTGATTATCCTTTTTACAACCAACGACATCACTCAACCCACACACTTCACACCAGGAAGCACCACTTCTCACCTACAAACCAACAATCACTACTATTGACATTCATTACTTCAGGATACATCGCAACACATCGCTAGACTCCGACCAATAGCACTCGGAAGTTTCACCCATCGCGTTTCACCCTGCAACTTAGAACAGAATTCAAAAATGCAGAGTCACTATTTACATCTCAGCATTTTCAACTTGACCGAGCACTTGCTCTACAGATGCAACATTTATTTACGGATACAATCTTGTATAGATTTAGCATTTACAGATGCCGTTTTACAGCAGCTTCAGATGATACTGCACTGGACACTTGCTTTGTTGTGACTCTCAC